AGACTTAATGAAAATTAATTATGATCAAGAAAAACAAAAGTAACAACAAAAGAGTCCTTTGCAGGTCCCTGTGACCTGACTTGTGCACACGGGTCATCGATTACCTATACTGATGGAAGGGGGAGATTACTCCATCGCCTTGCCTCCTACCTAGTTAGAAACGGAGGCTAAAGGGGCCTCTCAGATAAGAGTTCATCTATTCCTTAAGGGAAGGGCAATAGTGAAGTCTCTCTTTGTTAAGGAGCAGCCTGGGGTGGGAGCACAGGCCCAACAATAGCCTCCTTTTGAAATTCACAGCAGGTGCTAAGTGTGCAATTTAAAATGAGATGGGGTAGAGACAGAGAGGGGTGGGAAGTGGGGAAGAAAGAAGGAGGATAATTTTATAGTATTTTGCATTATAATGAGATGTCCAGACTCCTAGAGAGATTTGCCTTGAACATTATTGGCAGTTAGTGAACTTCCCTAAGTACCCATTCCTCCTAAGCAGTGAGTTTGTAATAGAGTTTGTCCTTGGGAGGAGTAGAGCATGTGGTGTGTGTGTGTGTGTGTGTGTGTGTGTGTGTGTGTGTGTGTAAAACTCAGAGTAAGAAAGACCACCTAGTTCAATGCAGTTTCCCTTTCTCCTTCTCTGTCAACTTTAATGAATGGAATTTGTAAGAATGGACTGCGCGGGGCTAAGGGAAAGCAATGGACAGAAAAGGTTCACAGGTGAGGAAAAACAGACCTGAGGGTAGAGAACCAGGTTAGAGATTGGTGATAGATACCCTTGCTAAAAGTTGAAAGATTAGGTGCTTCAAGGTGTCCACTTAGTCCAAGCACAACAAAGCAAAGTAAAGCAAAACAAAAGTGCATAAATGCCTTAAATTAAGGTGACCAGGCATCCTGCTTTTGGCGGAACAGTCCCGATTTTTAACAATTTTTCCCGCGTCCCGCAGCATTTAAAAAAATTCCCAAGATTTAGAAAGAATGCACGACAAGCTAGGGCATATGGGTTTTCGCTGCCATGTGGCTATTTCGCCAGGATATGAGTTTTACCAACGGTGCCCCGCTTTACCAATGTTAAAATCTGGTCACCTTACTTAAATGTCTGTGAGGTACAAAGGATACATGAAATATACTACGTAGGAAAGAGAAAGGTTGACTCCTCCTCACCCTTGTCTCCACCCAAGCCTAGAAATATGACATAACATCTCATAGGAAATACGACAGGACATCCCACAGGAAATATGACATGACATCCCACAGGAAATATGACATAACATCCCACAGGAAATACGACAGGACATCCCATAGGAAATACGACAGGACATCCCATAGGAAATACGACATGACATCCCACAGGAAATACGACATGACATCCCATAGGAAATATGACATAACATCCCATAGGAAATACGACAGGACATCCCACAGGAAATATGATATAACATCCCATAGGAAGTACGACAGGACATCCCACAGGAAATACGACATGACATCCCATAGGAAATACGACAGGACATCCCATAGGAAATACAACAGGACATCCCACAGGAAATACGACATGACATCCCATAGGAAATACAACAGGACATCCCACAGGAAATACGACATGACATCCCATAGGAAATACGACAGGACATCCCATAGGAAATACGACAGGTCTTCCCACAGAAAATATGACATAACATCCCATAGGAAATACAACAGGACATCCCACAGGAAATATGACATAACACCTCATGAAGAACAACTCACTGCCATCAAGCCAAGTGTGATCCTAGTGACCCTGTAGGACAGGATAGCTCTGAGCCAGTTAGTTTCCAATACTGTAACTTTTATTTGAACACTTTTATTGGCACTTTATCCATGTATCATACACCTCAC